CTCAGTAGTGTGCTAGTTATGCTCAGTCCTGCCTCTAGCCCTACATGATGTGAGCCCTTCCAGTAAGGAGCTTTTGTGAGACAGGCTGAATGAGAGCGCTGCTAGCGAACTTGGTAAAAAATTTTCAGTAAATTGCTCTTGAAAGTGAGCCCCTGTATAGTCTTTGGATGAATAAAATGGCAACCACCCTCCTTGGCATGTTCTGTGTCTCGTGTTGAGGCAGTGTTTCCAAGTGCATAATTCTGTTGGGGTTGTTCTTGCTGTCCAGCTCCTGGTGTAGTCAGTGGCCTCAGAATAGAAGGAGCCTTTCTTCAGCCTCCTGGCCACATTGCTGCTTCCCATATATTTTATTTTGCCACTCTTTGGATGTCAAAGAATGGACTGGGAAAATAACTTGTCCCTTGTGTCTCCATTAGTAAACAACATGAATCCTCCACATCCTTCTCTTACTTAAATGCAGTGAGCGTGCACCTCAGCCAAACCTCTCACTTAAAATACTCATATTGCACACCAATAAAATAAATCCTTGAAACAATAATGGGAAATGTAGCATTTGTTACTCTCTGAAGCTGTTCATGATAATTGGTCACAAGGGGAATGGGTTTGGAGCAAATCCTGGTCTCTGAAGGGTGTGTACCTCCACTTAAAACACTGTTTATGGATGGCAACCAGCCTACATGCATGAAAGCATCTGGTTCTCATGGTGCAGTTGGGCGTACAACTGGGATTCGTGGAGTTGGCCTGTGCGTATGCCACTGCCTTCTCGTTAAGGTGAGGTTTAGGATAGCGTCACCATCTAGTGGCTGGCCCTAATAGAGGACACGGGCTGGGCTGAGCTGAGACAGCTGATGTCTTTGCTTTTCAGTTAGGAAAGAGCTACTGCACACATGTAGTAGCTAGTGTGTGCCTGGATTAACTGTCTTGGTAATTACAAGTCTTTTCACCATGTTGTTTCCTGAGCTTGGGATCAGCTTGTATTAATCTCAAATGTTCACTTCCCTCACATCGATCATTGCCTGTTTGACTACTCCTTGCCTCAGGAAAAGAATGTCTTCTGCTATCTCGGCTGTAAAGCTTATGTCCTCTTCTGCTTCATATCTTACCTTTAGGCCTGCTCTTCCTATGAATCCTTGAGAAGATGGTCACAGAGTAAGGGATAAAGATTGCTTGAGTTAGATGTGTGTGCATTTGGGCAAATTAAAGTGTGTATAGGATCTTTTTCTCCTATGCCCATTCTGATCTGTTTGCCTTTGTATGACCTCATCCAATGACATTTGGAAAAGATGTAAGTCATTTTTGTGTGTATTTGTGTGTGTGCATGTGCATGCAGACAGTTTGTACCATGTTGGAGATGCCACTGAAATATAAACCATTAGCTGCTTGCACTACACTAGTCCTGTGGCAAGTCTGAGCCATCTCTCTGTTTCTAAGCACTAAGCTAGTTTACATTTAAAAAAAAAAAAACAAACAACCAACAACAAAAGGCAAGGAAGAAAGAGAAATATATTAATCATTTGTGAGCCATTGTTAGATGTATTTCTTGAATCTTCAAACACAGCAGGTTGTTATTTTCTTAATACTTCATTTTTAGACTATCAATTAAATATCCAGTTTTCTTTCTGTTCTTTCCCTCATTTTTTTAATCATGTCAAATGCTGAGAAGTAGCACATATGTTTTCTCCTCTTTGAATCATGGTATGGCTGCCATGCTTATCTTGTAAAGATTTATATCCTCATCTAATTTAACTTTTCATAAATAATTACAAATCACTGATGAGACCTTGTCAACTGCTTCAGTCCCACAAAGTGACCTGACCTGAAACCCCAAAGTACTGAGAAACATTCGTCTCAGAGTATTTTCATAGGCAGTACTTCAAAGGAATTGTGGTTTAAAAATATGCAGCTATTTTGGTGACCACTTGTGTGGGATAAAGTTTCCCATTGGTAATAGCAGGACTGTAATAGAGCTTCAGGGGAGCAGTCACAGCACCTTTTCTGCTCAAGCAGTAGGAGTCCCCAGAAATAAACAGTTGACTTCATTAACGTAACATGGACTTCATTTGCGGTAGAAATACTGTAAATTTCTGATCATTTGCAGAGGGTGACAAATTCCTCTGGCAAGTGTGCATGGCTCCCACTCAGTTAGGAACAATGTTCTTTGCGTTCTGACCATGTGTGAAGAGTGGTCCAGCAGTATAACTGGTGAGGGGTGGTTTGAAGGGGCAAAGATGGGAACTGAGATATATGTGGCTGCAGATCTGCAGCTTGGAGCTCTGTTCTGAGCAGGTTTACAAGTGCCTCTCATGCGTGAAGACTTAAGGTGATGAAGCTGGACATGCAAGTGCAACCTCTGAACAGTCCTGTTCATCCAGCATTTATCTCCAGTTAACCCAGACAGGAGGGTTGTTCTTTAACTTTACTGGGGAACAATAATAAGAAAATAAGGATTCTTCTGCCTGCTTGTAAGGGTAACATTAGTTGAAAATGGGATGCTGTTATGTGCTATTGTAGATGCACATTTTGAATCTTTGGTCCTGTAGTGAAGCTGTTGATTAATCCATAAATCAAAGTTGGTTTCTTTCTGAAGTGGCTGTGCTGCTCTAACTAGACGTTAAAGGGCTGCCAAGCTAGCAGTGAAGTACATGGAGAAAATAGTTTTTTAGATATTCTGTCAGCAATCAGGAATGTGCCTGTCATCTTTTATGCTGTGTTCTGGTTTGGAAACCCTAGCGTTTTGCAATATTGCCTTTTAGTATATTTCTTATTGTTGTCAGTAAGATTTAGGATTTCATCATTGATTTCAGATGTGTTAGGCAAACACCAGGTTTTTCAATTTCAGTGTATCAGATACGCAACAGATGAAGGTAAGACTTTTGACACCCTTTGCTATAGACTCCAGCATTAGTGAAGTGCCCTGGAATTCACAAAGCCTTAAAGAAGTTGCCTAAGGGGTCAATGAGAGAGAACACAGTCCCTTTTTTGTATCTTCACTGGTGGTTGGGGGCAACACATGGAAGAAACTCATTCTTTAAAGATATTTGCACTCCTAAAGGACATGCTTCAATATAGTTACTAAATTTTTAAGAGGAGAGTAAATTTAAGTCTGAACAACTTGTTAAACAGAAGAATCAATAAAATCGTACAGGCTTTTACTGCCATGGGATAATAGAAGTTTGAGGGGAAAAAAAATGAAGAATGAAGTTTTACACTCAATGAATGAAGGTTTTGTTGGTCCTTTGAATCAAAGCCAGCAGGACTGTCTTACCTAGTTCAAAATTTATTTGACAAGTCTGGCTGAAGCACAGGATATAAATCAGAGCAGAGTGAGTTTGTCTTAATTTCACACCATCCTCATGGAACAAATTCCAGGAACTGGTGTTTATAACCAGACCTGTCTCTTCCTTTAAATCTGTTCTTCACATTATTCAGAAAGCTGGGACAAGCTTTTTGCCTTATTAATTTGGTCTAAGTAGTGATCAAAAACTTAGCTGCCTCTTTTTCCCATTTCTTCCAGCGGGCTTCTACAGCTGTCTGAAACCTAAATGAGTGAAGAAGCAACAAACTGCTTGTTCATCTATACCTGGCAAAATGGATCTTTGAACTTTGCTATTGCCTTTAGATAGTGCAAATAATAACTTGTTGGGTTTTTCTGCTTCCAAAGGAGCACCTCCACATCTTTGTGTCCCTTCGATGCCTTCCTACTTTTTAATGAATTGTTCTCTGTGATGCATTACTATGATACATTCAACAAAACAGAGATTAAATGCTGCTAAAGACTGCTGTGAAAGCAGTACCTCTGTCCTGTGCAGGGTGTTACAGTCAGGACCTTCATAAGCTCAGAGGAAATAAGTATGTGGTCCATTTTAGTTGCTGGATTTCAGTAGTCTGGAACCACTGGGCCATGTATTCAGCAGAGGTGCATTGTTTGCGTACTGATATAAGCGTTATGCAAAAGTAGCTGATATACCCTCTTCCACAAAAAAGGGGTTTCCTGGTGATTTATATAAAACTTTGCATTGTCAATCATGTTATGAGTATGTTGTCATTCTTTGGATTATTCTACTGGAATAATTTTCATAGCCCTTGTAACGAGAAGCTTGATGAATAGGATTTTACGTAAGATTTGGACGGTTATGATGTAGTTTTGATGTTTCTCCTGACTGATGGAATTTTGAGTTCCTTGTTTTATTTTATTGTCCTAGTGTTTGTATGAGGGATGTTTGGGGTACAGACTTCTTGTACAGTGATCCTTATTCCCAGGATTGATCTTCTCATACCTCATTTTCTGCAGCCCTTGTAAAAACGAAGCCACTTCTGATGCTTGTATAATGTGATGTGATTGTTCTAGGGGAGTGGACTTTAGCTGAAAAATGCCTGCTATGTCACTAAGTTTTGCTCCTCTACTGAGATGAGCAGGTGATTGCAGAACTTTTTCAAAGAGGATTGATGGAACAGCAGGGTTTTGGTTTTTTTTGTGGAATGTCCCAAAAATAGATGGGCAGGAGAACTCTTCATTAAGCACTGGCTGCAAACTACACACTGGATCCATCTAAGGGACCTCAAAATCCTTATCTATGATGGCTTGGACTCAGTTGGCATTGCTGTGGTGCATCTGTGGTACAGTGGAGGTGTCTGTGTCAGGCTGGGTGCTGTGTGCACGCATGCACACACGCTGCCCCTTGGTATCCATGAAGAAATCCAGTGCAGTGTACATAAGGTCTGGTGGGGTCAGCTTTGGTTTGTCTTCCAGATGGGTTCTGGCTGGCCTGGAAGTTTTTAGCTGTGGACTTGAGGGTTGCTGAACAATCTGGTTTTGCACAGTAGCCATGTGTTTGTTGGGAGGTTTGTGGTATCTAAAAGGTGGCAACTGTAGTGAAATCCCCAGAAATGGAATATCCCAGTGTGCAACTGTCTTGTGGCTTTTTTTAAAGTGGAGGGTGTAGCTGAAATGTTGTGTAAAGTTGTTTATAATTTGTTGTATTTGTCTTCTCTTATGACAGTGATCCGAGCTAAAGTTGTGGGGAAGAAGCTCATGAAAGATGGACCATTTGGAACGATGCGATACACAGTGAAACAGATGAAGGTAAGTTTGCAGATATTTCACATAGGCTCATAGATAGGATTATGTTTCTAATTAACATGTAATAACAAACAGAGTTTGCATGCTTAAAATAACAGCACTTCAACTTTTTGTATGGGTCAGCCAGAATGGAAGGTAACCAGCAATTGGTAGGAATTTTCCTGGAGAGGGGAAAGGAGCAGGAAGAGGTAATTCCTGACATACAATACTGCATACCTGAATTCTTCCTTGATTTTAAAGATTTCTGGTAGTAAAAGATGCCAAATGGGCTTCTCTAGATGCTGGAGTCCTGCTTGTGCTCAACATACACAGTTTACCATGCAGCACGTTCATTAAATTCAAGATGTGGTGGTGGTAGGGGGTCTGCCAGCCTTGGGAGTGTGGTCTTTCATCTCTTCCTTCCTTGCATTCGTTGTGAACCATGAGCTAGAATGATGGCATTTTTTTCCATGTACAGAACAAATGAAACTTGTATAGTGAAGCTCTATATAAAAGCTAAACCAAATACTGTAGCTTTCAAAGATCATCAGCTCAGAAGAGCTGTAAAGTACTGACTCAGAGATGAAAAAAGGTAGATTCTCTGCACCAGTTGCTTGGTTTCTTTACTTCTTTTCAGAGCTCTAATTCATTGCTGCACAAACTGCACTCAACCTGCTGCTTTGGACTAATTTTTTTTTCTTAAACTGACCCTTTGTTATGTAATGCTAAAAATCAGCCCTAGATTGTTTTTCTTGGCTATGCCATTACAGTCATAAGACTGGTTTATGTCTTTTAAAAAAAAAAAAAAAAGAAAGGGAATGGAAAAACTTGGCAGAGACTGCAGAAATCTGAAACATATTAGACAAAGTAAAGGTTCAGAAAAAAACAGTCACTTGCCTGCCTCATAACAGTAACTCTCTTTATAAGGCAGTTTATAGCTAAGCACGAAAGCTGGGAGGAGGAGACGCAAAGCCTGTTTCATAAGCTATCGCAAAACCGCACACGTAGCCAAATCTGGTCCTGGCATGGCTAAGACCACTAGCGTGCTTGCACTTTGACTAAGAGAGCACAAGGTGCTGGGCTTACTCATTTTCTTAATCTTAAAAATTTCTTTTTAATTTTCAAAAGGAAATATATTTGTCAATTAATTTGTATTTGTAAAAAATGCAACTGGTTATGTTGGCAACAGTAAATCAATGCTGCCACTTATTTTTTTAATGACTGTCACTGGCCTCATCAGGCTTGCAGCACTTTCTGCTGTTGTCCAGTTTTGTCACTCTCCAGCTCAGCAAGTGTACCCCACTTCACAAAGCTACTCAGTCACAGAGTCATTAAGGTTGGAAGAGACCTCTAAGATCGTAAAGTCCAATCATCAACCTAACATCACCATGCCCACTAAACCGTGTCCTGAAGTGCCACATCCACATGGTTTTTGAACACCTCCAGGGATGGTGACTCCACCACCTCCCTGGGCAGCTTGTTCCAGTGCTTGATCACTCTTTCAGTAAATAAATTTTTCCTAATATCCAGTCTAACCCTAATATCCAATCCGTGTCCACATGCTGGTTTCATCTTGGTCTGTCCAGGACCTCTACTTCCCCTCCTACTCAGTTCCAAGAGTTTAGGGCTTTGTGTTTTAATATATGACCGTGAACAGGGTCCAGTGGTGATCTAGAATGACAGTAGCACCCAAAATTATATACTACCCTTTACCACCATAACATTAGCCTCTCTCCTCACTAATGATGCAGCCTGCCCCACTGTCAGGCAGTGAGCTGCAGTGTCAGAGATCTCAAGCAGCATTAAGCATTCCTCCTCTGACCTAGACACCTGCAGCAGTGTCCCTGCTACAAATAAAAAGCTTCCATGTGTCTTTTGGAATGAGGAGGAGCATAAGCCCAGGCAAGGTGAGCATGTTGAGTGGAGCAGGAGCCACTCTACAGTCAATAGGCACCATTGGGGGATTGGACTAGATGATCTTTTGAGGTCCCTTCCAATCCCTAACGTTCTGTGATTCTGTGATTCTGTGTGATTGTGTCAATCTTTAAATAAGATGCCTGTGCTGGCCATTTTTGTTGGATTATTTTGCAGCACATGGCCAGGGCATTTACAGGAGTGACTGCAGTAGTCTGCAATGTCCTTGCACCAAGACCACAAGAAAACAATTTGCCTTTTTGCAGGAGCAGTTCCCTGGTGTTTTGCTGGGAAGCTACATGTCCAACAAAAGCAAGATTGATTTTTTTTTTTTTTTTTTTTAAAGGGGTGATTGTGTGTTGGTCAAACATCCTCTATGCCTGCTACATAGATGGTGGGCTGGTGAGATGCTGCATTGCACACTTAACCGTGACCTTTGGCAGGAAGGAACCTGGAGCAGTCAAAGTGCTCAGCAGAACTGCAGTGTCTGGAGGATGTAGTACTTGATAAACGAACAAACCAAGTGTCTTCTTTGAAACCCTGATGTCTTTCTGCTGAGCTCAGAGGCTTCAGTATAAAGAGGGATTCAGCTCCATACACTGGGGGACCTCAGAATGATGCAGCAGATCTCTCCTTTGCTTGCCCCAGTGAAAGGTGACTGTCCTCCGGCTGAAAAGAAAACCAAGGAGGCCTATGGCTCTGCGCAGCTGCATGGGAACAACTCTGAAGATAAAACTAACACGTCAGTGTTTTTTGGCCACCTATAAACCCATCTGCACCTGCAGATGAAAAATAAACAAGCCATTTAGTTTATCAGCGTGTACTGAATTGCCTGTGAAAAGCACTGAGAGCCTTAAAAGGCAACAAACAATCTTTGTATTTCTTTCATGGGTTCCTTGGAGTTTGCTGTGGCTGATTCTTGCTCTCACTAACACTCCTGAACTCATTGCTGAATTTCATAACTAAACCAGTTTAGGGCCTGAACATGAGCATGAGGTCAGCCCACAGGCACAGAACAGCACCGGGCTTTCTAGCGTTCAGATTTGTTGTCTAAAGACGACTTACACTTTTTCAAGTACCCTCTGCTGTTCCCCACTGCTTTCTCAAGTAATTTAAGAATATTTCAAGATCACATGTCAGAAATCTGCACTGATCTAACCCTTGCATGTTCTGTGATGCTGCTGTGCATTCTGAGAATGGCCTAAACCTATTTCAGGAAACTGCAAAGGAGACAAGGAGATAAGATATTCCTACTCCATGTACACAAACAGTCCTGGTTGACCATGGCAGCACTCTTCATAGGCTCCCAGAAGCAATGAGGCTTTCCTTGGTTTGTTGCTAATCTGTAAAATGAGTCTAAGGGGTGTAACCTGATAGTCCCAAGAGGAAAGAAGTGGAGTGGGATTAATTTAGTTTAATTTTAGACACACTAAAATGAGGTGTTGAGTCTTCCCTGCTCTCTTGATTGTCAATGGAGAGAGACAGGAGCCACCAAAGTGTAATTCAGCCCACGAGTTGTAGACAGCTATTTTAGGATGGACTGAGTTGTTCTGGATGTGCCCATCCTTAGCGTTTGACTAAAGAGGATGTCTAACTCATACAAAGCACTTAAATTTTTGGTAGCTGAAGGTTAGGCCAGGTGACTCCAAGCCTTAATATCTAGTGTGACCTCACTGGAGAGGGGCAGAGGGAAGAACATAGTATCCCAGGGTGAAGTTAATCATGCAGCAGGAGCCACCACAGGATTTGCATGTGAATTTCTGAGGCAGTATGGGGGCTGCTGAGGGGATTGCTGACACAGCTGGAAGTTGAGCAGCACTAGCAGACACCACCATGTGATGCTTGCTAATACTTTGTTCCCTGTCATTACGTTTCTGAAAATATACATTTGTGGCGACAGGAGGACTCTGAGAGTAGCAGTTAGGAGAGAAACTAGCTTTATGGTTGGTTTTCTTCTGGCTCGTCTAATAGTGCTTCCAGAATACTTTGTGTATCCAAAAATAATACTTAAGGTATTGTTTTATTTGTTTTGAAAGAGGACATCTGTAGAAGATTCTCTTTTGCCAAATTATCTTTTTGCCTTCCTTGAGAACCAAGGCCACAGTGAATTTTCTTCAGTCACACACACACAGAATTGCTCAGTTGGAAAAGACTTCTGAGATCATCATGTCCAACTGTTCCTGTCTACCCACTAAACCATATCCTTAAGTACCTCATCGACCCACTCTTTAAATACATCCAGGGATGGTGACTCCACCACCTCCCTGGGCAGCCTGTTCCAGCTTCTGGCGACCCTCTCAGTGAAGAACTTCTTCCTTGTCTCTAACCTGAACCTCCCTTGGCACGGCTTGGTGCCGTTTCCCCTTGTTCTATCCCCCATCACCTGGGAGAAGAGACCAGCACCCACCTCTCTACAGCCTCCCTTTAGGTAGTTGTAGGTGGTGATGAGGTCTCCCCTCACTGGAGTCATCGGAGGATGAGGCAGGCCCTGTCTGCCCCCAACACTGATTCAGTTAGCGTGACAGTTGCTAGTGTTGATGAGGGTCACTGAGGGGTGAGCTGAAGTTCCTTTTTTTTGAGAGACTGATCATACTTCTTTCAGCAGCCCCGGTGGTGCTGTCCCTGATGGTAATGTGATCAGAAAATTAGGTCCAGGAGTCAAAAACCAAACATCGGTTCATCATCACTGGTTACTTCATAGGCAGTCTTGTCGAGCTTGATGGTGCGGATGATGTGAGGAGTGAAGACTGTAAGGGTCCTGTAGGAAGGGCCTGAGCATCTTCTAAGAGGAATGGTTAGCCTGGCTTGTAGCCCTTTCTGCAGGGGGAGAAATGGGCTCGAAGCGTGCCTGTGCTCATGTAGACTTTATGGCACAGGTACTTAATTAACCCAACACTACTTGGAGCTTAGCACTGAGTGACATATCACTTGTACCACACATGCATGGCATACAGCTCTTTGCAGCACAGATAGTGCACTGCCTGGGGAGACGGAGCAGCCCCAGCTCTTATCTTTGCCAGTCTTATCTGCTTAGATACTGTTATCATAGCTTCTCGCCCACTAGAATGGGCTCTAAAGCAAGGCAAGGCTGTTCTACAGACCAGGAACAAAAGTGTACTGAAGGCTAAATAATTCAGCCGAGGACAGACAGGATGCCTGTGCCAGAATCTAGATCCCCAGCTATCTTGAGCATAATTGGAAAATCTGAGTAGGTCATCCCATACCAAGAAAGCTGCAGGGATAAAACAGATTAGGGCAAGGTTTAGTTCTTCCATATTCAGTGTAAGAATATGCTCTTTGCTCACTTATGGGCACAATGGCTTATTCCAAACATGATCTGTGAGCTTTTATTGATACAGCATGATTGATTTTTAAAAATGCTTTCCTTGCATATTTTTTGGGTGTAGAGGGAAGGCTGGAAAATGCAAACCCTTTAGCATGTCCTTTTCTCTGCGTAGCAGTGCTGTTACTGAGTTGTGATACTGTTACAAGGTTATGCCGATTTGAGTAATATAACTAAGGAAAAAATACCTGACAGGCATTGGATGGATGCTGAGAAGATAGTTTGACTATCAGCATAGCAGAATTAGTACTATTTTTTATTATATGTAGTATCTGGGCCTAGCATAAAATCTGTTACAACAACAAGCATCCTTTTATTGACTTCACCGAGGTAAAAATCACGCCCATAATACCAGAGAGAATAGCACTGATGAATTCTGCAGAATAAAAAGGTTTGTTGATTTTAAAGGAGGACGGAGGATAGTGAGAAATGAACGAATAACAATACATACCTAGGGATAATAGGGGGCTTGAAGAAATAGAAAATACAACGTGGAGGAGGGTGCTACTGCTCAAGTGACACAGCAGCAAGGATCTGTATCTCTGTGATTGTTTGGGACTTTTCCTTTTTTGCCTCACTTTAATATTTACAGTTAAACTGAATGTGAGTGTGCTCTCTACCAATAAAGCTGACAGAGAAAAAGGTAGGCTGGCAAATGCTATGAAACTGTGATTCTCTCTGACTTCTCTTTTTTAAATTTTCAATATTGGCTGTTGAGGAATAGAGACTGAATACTTTGAAAAGATAACCAAATTTTAAAGATTAAATTTGGAGAAAAAGCATCCTCAGTGTTCCAGAATTAGGATATGTTTTATTTGGTCCAGTATGTGCATGCAGTGGTTGTTTCATTGCTATGCAAAGACTTCATTATGCTACTAATAGGCATGCACGAGTTTCTCCAAATTGCAGCAGTAAGGTCAGGTCAGATAGGGACATGTGCTAATTTCTGACTGAATCCAACTGCCAGTATATCTGTGGGTTCATATTTCAATTAAACTGAACTGTATGTTTGCTTCCACTTAAGAAAGATTATGAAAAAGGAGAAGGAGCATAAAGGAATTATGTATACATGATATTTTTTTTATGGTGCCTATCAATACCAGGCTAATTTTAGGAGATGGTGTAGAATTCTCTTTCTACCTTCATTTAGTTAGTAGAGAAACATTAAGTCCTTGCTGAGGTCAGCAGGAGTTGTGTATGCTAGGTGTTTGGGGAGGAGGTGTCTGACTTCATGACTTAGATCAAGTGCCAAATGTTTGACACTCTTATAGCAGCAACAGTGGAAAACAGAGTCATTGTTTAAAAGAAAGATCCCTTAGTGCAGAAGAAATTGTTTAAATGACATGAAGGAGAAAGATTCCAAACCTGAAATAACTTAATTTCTCCCTAATTATGAGCTATGTAAGGAAAAACAAAGTGTTCAGGATGTTGGCAGAACTTGCAGTGTTGGCGCTTTGCTCACTCAGTGTCACTGGAACTAATGAGAGTGGGGAAAAGGGGTCCTTGTGCTGAATTGCAATGGCTTGTTAACAGGTGGGTGTTCTCTACCAGCAGATCTGTGGGGAGACTTGCATCACACTCCAGCTTGTGCTATTAGTCCTTCACCTTTGTAAACACTAAAAGGTCACTGCTTGCCACCACAATCTAGGAATATAGATTGTAAAGAATCCGAGTGAAAAGTCATCATCTTGAAATTACTTAAAGCATTTTTTTTTGTTTCTCTAGATGTACAGGGGCTTCCAGATAATGCCACATGTTCAGTACATCTACACAGAAGCTTCTGAGAGTCTTTGTGGAGTCAAGCTGGAGGTCAACAAGTACCAATATCTGATTACAGGTAAAGGGCAGTGTACTTCTTCATAATCCAAACCTCTTCTGTTCTGTGCATACACCTGCTAAGGACATGGGCAGCTGTGTAGACAGCTGTATACACAGCTTCTTAAGTGTTAAGATGGCCAAAGTATTTTGCTGTTCAGTTATTTTTTAATGCTGAGAGTCATTTAACTCTCTAGATTTCTTTCTCTTTCCTTAAGTATCTCTTACACCCAGCCATGTTGTGACAGATATGGTGTATGACAGCGCACAGCTGTCAGTTCATACCTGAGCTGGCATGTCTGTCACAGGGACCTGGTTGCTACTCGGCTCTGCCAAAAATGGAAGATCTCTTTTGGAATTCCTTGGTGAAATGCAGGCTGCTGAGATGGGGAGATGTGAGGAGATAGAGGTGTGGTAGTTGCCAAGTCTTGTTTCTAGAGGTGTCAGTTCGCTTAGATTTGCTCTGTTACCAAGAGGAGCTCGACAGCATCACTGCCCTGCATGTTGTTGCTGGTGCTTGCAGCTGGCACAATGCTCCTAACTTACAGAAGTGCTGTAATCTTGCTGGCCAGAGATTCCTGAACCAGTTAATAAAAAGAAACCAGTTGCTGAGCGGTGACTGAAGCCAAACATATTGAGAGCATTAGCAATCTCAGGAAATGAGAAAAGTGCTTGAGCTGAGAAGTGCTAACTTGTGACCATGTCTCTGTTTTCAAGGCCGCGTGTATGAAGGGAAGGTTTACACTGGTCTGTGCAACTGGTATGAGAAATGGGACCGGCTGACGCTGTCCCAGCGTAAAGGACTGAATCATCGTTACCATCTGGGCTGTGGATGCAAGGTATGTGTGTTTCTAGGTGGCATTTAGACATTCAAACCCGAGAATTCTGTGTTCCCTAGCTGGTAATACTAAAGATGCTGGTGAACAGCCAGGAAGAGAAATGGAGGACAACAACTTTTACAGGGAAAAAGTAAAGCCCAGCTTTAGTGTTGAGACTAGAGAAGAGACAATCAAATAAAGATGCAGTCTAAGCCATTTTAATGCCCTGTTGGAGTTAGTTGTGGTTGGGAAAGGTTTACACAATCCATGCAGAATCACTTGCAGGTGAAAGAAATCAGGTACGAGAGGCTTGGCAAGGTATGGTCAGCTTTTTTCCTGTGTAAACATTTTGAGTGCTTAAAACCTCACAGCCTGGCACTGGTACTAAGATTTTTACTTGTGGCCCAAGGCCTGTAAAAACTTAGACACAAACTCAACTTTTCTGCACCTGAAAAGCCCTTTTGACTCTAGAATTACCTGTGTATGTGACACTAAGCACATGTTTACTGAACTGAGGCTTAGTTTTGTCTTAGTAAGCAAGGTTTGAGGGAATGGAATTTTGAATGCCTTGGTTGTAGTAAAAAGATGTTTTATATAAATGCTGTTTTTCCATGTAGCCTTACCTGATTGTTCTTTACAATTACAGATTAGGCCCTGCTACTATTTGCCCTGCTTTGCCACCTCCAAGAATGAGTGCATTTGGACAGACATGCTCTCCAACTTCGGCCACTCAGGATACCAAGCAAAGCACTACGCCTGCATCCAAAGGATGGAAGGTTACTGCAGCTGGTACAGAGGATGGGCGCCTCCAGACAAAACGATAATCAATGCCACAGATCCCTGAGCACGCTATCCCTTCCTGATCTCCCCTCTCCCTGACTTGTGGCTGATCCTCCTTTGGACACTAACTCTTACCAGATCATGATGATGACAATGAAATTAGTGCCTGTTTTCATGCAAATTTTAGCACTTCGAACATTTAAAAAGGAAAAAAAAAAAGGAAAGAAAACAAAAAAAAGTCTGTGCTACCTTACTGAATTTGTAATCACCTTTTCCATTTTTTAATACCACTCATTTTGATCAGACGACATTTGGGAGCTTACTTTTGCACACCAGAGGGAAAATGGGAGGGGGGGGGGGAAGGAAAAAAAAAAGATGGAGCTCTTGCTCTCTTACACGTATCATTAGCTGTAGCAATATAATCTCTATTTTTTTAGGAAAACAAAAATCTAAAAACTATGCCAATTAGGCACTGTATTCTTCTATGCGCTGGCTTCCTGTCACCCCTCCTCATGCACTAAGTGCTGAAAATACATAGACAAATCTGTTTGATGGAAAACAGGTTTCATTAATCAGATTGGCAAATGAAACAAACTGAAAAGAAACTCAGCCTAAACTCTGGAAAAAATGACCTCCAAAAGAAATCCTCCTCTGTGGGAGAGATTTGCAATGTGATTGACTGCAGCAGTGGGAGAATTCACCTGGTGTGTCTGACCCCATCATCTGGTAAAAACGTTGTTGACTCATTGTCCTAGCTAGTTCAGTCACAGGGTGAATGCAACAGCACATTTAAAAGTTCTGGCTTTCCCCAGAACAAAAGAGAGTATTTTGTATTTTTGTTGTTTAAAAAAACAAAAGCCCCATCCCCTATGTTCAGGGAGGTAACTCCACCTTCAGCAGAGCAGACCAGTGCTGTGCCATCCTGTTTGGAGCAGCATTAGCTCATGAAATTTTTGCAGCTTAGCTTCAACAGCAAAACCAGCTCATGAACACCTTAAACCAAACAGATGCAAAAATACGATCTGTAAATCAATCACACAGAAGGTGGAAAGGGGAGACTTGCTAGAGCTCTTACTATTAAAAAAAAAAATCTATTGCCAAAATAGTGTTTTGCTGAACTAAGATGTATATACACATAATGACATAAGCTATTTTTGACAGGATGTGGATTTTTTTGGTGTTATAAACAAAAGAATGGTTTGACTGTGTTTTAAAGACAGAAATATTGACATTCCGAGTCAGTGAGGAGTTTTGAAGATACTGAAGCTCCAGTGTATCTGCAGTAGTTGCTACAGTCATCGTTTCCTCTGTACCTCCTTGCACCACGGTTCCTCCCCTGCAGCTACACTGGCCGCCATTTGTTTATATAGTGAAAGGAAGTGCGTGTGGGGGGTAGGCAGGGAAAAGTGGTCTCCTAATAAGTGCTGGCTGGGATCATAACATTTCAGCTGCCCAGAGGATTCCTTGTGTGTCAAGGGCTGTGTTTCCCTCTAGGCACTGTTAAGCATAGCTCTGTGCATGTGCTTTTACCGTGTCCTGCAGTGATGTGGGAGGAGAAGCCTTACTGTCTTGTGCTTTGCTGTTGACTGGAGAAGTTTTTTTTGTTCTATTTTTTTTTATTAAGAAAACTATAATATAATTTTTCTTATCAAATAAAAGTATTTTAAGTTTTAATGACGGTGAAGAAGGGGTGCTGACAAAATGGGTGACTGAATTTTGGATGGGGAGGGCTTGGGCAGGGAGAAGATTACGCTTAACTTCATTTTTGTATTATTATGATTATTTATCTTAAGTTTCCATATATCTTCAGTTCATTCCACTTAGAAAGCAGAGCTGCCACCAGCAGAAAAAAGTGTTGCGGTGATTCCAGCCCGGGGCAATACAGCATTTTAAAGTCAGTGACCTCAATTACTGGAGAGTTGTTTGGGGCCTCTTCAACAAATGGAAAGGAAAGGGTGTCCCAGATGGGCCCTGGTGTGTTTTTATGTTCCTTGCTGCTACCAGAGCTTTGCCAGATGTACATCCCCTGAAATGCCCCATTTATTAGATGAATTGTTGCAGCAGAAAGTGTGTAGCTTCATCTTTAACGTGAGCTTTAATGGGCATTTTCAAAGAGTTGATGTAAGAGGTGCCTTGGTCTGCTGTGTATTTTTTCCCAGCTGCTCTGAGTGGCAACACAGCACAAAAAAACATTCAAAGTCTGTTGGATTTTCCTGTGGTTCAGGCTTGGAACACTTTTTTGAAAAGTCCTCTGTCCTGTGACTGCTCCTAAATTGTGGGTTGGAGATGAGAGGAAGAGCAGGGTGCTTCACAGCACCCATCATAGGATCAGCTGGTGGGTTGCCGCTTTGTGGCAGAGTACGGGGTTGGGCTTTGGACACAGTGGAGTTATCTCCGCACCACTGAGGAAATCACTGAGAGTCACTGAGGGGAGGGAGGAGCCAGCCTCGCCACCCTCACTTTGCGTCGCGTGGACTCGGCATCGCTGGAGATGGCCCTTCTCATGCTCGAGGAGACTTTGCAAAGCTGACGTCTCCTTGAGCTGCAGCCACTTTTCATGGCTGTGGAAGGCTAAATGAAAATGCCTGTTGATGCAGTGAAGTGTTGATTTGAGTTTTCATTTAACTGCAGCTCTGCATATTTTACCTGTCACTGATTCATTTAGCTAGCTGAGACATCACAGTATTGCACTCAAATTATTGTGAAAATATTTACATTCTAATGCTATGAGGACTTGTGTCCGTAAGTAGGATATAATGTAGCTATGTGCTTTGTAAACAACAAAACAGCAGCCACATTACCAGAAAACAATGAATATTCCCATTTTATATTGCAGATGGTAAAATATTTCTGAGATGCAGACAGCTAGACCAGCAGAGGTGAGGGTTTGATTGCAAATCTTTCCCTTTGCTGTGTAAAGAAACAGTTGTTATGGCTTTTAAAAATGTGGAGCCAAAAGGAGGGGGAAGAATCCAGTAAAAATACATTTCTTTTGGGAGGCTTCTTAATTTTGTTTCTGTGCATGCTATCAGGGACGTGTATTTCTTGGGCTAAGCTTTAGTTAGTGCTTGCTTTAAGAACCTGGCCGAAAGCTCCCTTGAAGCAGGAGGGAGCCATTAAATAGATTGAACAGGCTCTAGACTCAAAGACCTCTTCCTTTCTGTCTGCTCTCCCTTCTTGTGCCCTGCTAATTTGCTTCTGCCTGCCAATAGGCAAGACCCTCTCCCTCATTACAGCAGGGCATGCGATATGGGGGAACACCAGGCATGGAGATGTGAGGAGGCAGGTGTGAAGTTCTCCCCAAAATGTCAGGATATGGAGCATACAATGGCTTGCAGCAGCACAAATACCTTTCTGTCACCTCTGACGTGCTCCTCACTTCACCTAAGGTTAAAGAGGACCTGGCAATGGCACAGCTCATGTGGGCATGACCTTTGGGCACATACAGGGCTTTTACCCCTGCCCCCCCCCCCAACACTTTAGATATACAAACATTATTAAAAGTACTTCTTAAAGTGCATAGCTCATTTCTAGACTGTTGCTGTTTGCTTTCTTATTTATAGATACTTATTTGATTGAGTGTTTTCCCCTCTAGTATTACAAAAAATTATGAAAAATAATATTGAAGGTTTGGGATTTGATTCGATTTTCATTTTCCAAAGTGGAGCAGGTAGAGAGCAGGAGTGCATGGAGTACCTTGAATAAAGTCCTCTTGTAGGAGGCTTCCACCTCCCCTGTATAGGACAAAACCCTCATTTTAGGTCTAAATTTCCCATATTTTGACAATTTACATGATCCTTTAGGTTAGAACTGTTCTAAAACCCAAATATATCACCATATCCCATTCATACTTGGCCAGACAGAAATGCTGCCTCCAGGTGATGGGAAGCATGCTGTTACGTTTTTTACAGTAAGGACTGCTCAAAGTAAAGGCCTCCATGGGAACAAGTTTCAGTTCTTTCAGATGTCTCTGAAAATGTATCTCACTTGTAATGTATTTGATAGCTTAAAGGGCAGAACAAAATTTAGAGAACTGCAGAAATTTTTTGTCTTTTTTTTTAGAATTAGTGTCTTTTGGGGCTACTGGTCTTGAAAAAAATCTTAAAAATAGGTTAAAGAGTTGCTGCTGCTTTGCCTGTGCTGGCTTCTCCTTCTCTCCGACGCTGTTCTTCCTTCATAGAGCCACTCTGCTGTTCCTGATAGTCATGGAAACTTGGGGAGGGAACCAAACCCGTGTGAAAAATCTTGTCCAGAAGGAATGTATTTGTTGCTAAATTTTCTAGCACTGTTTACAGTTTTCCTCCATGTTATTTATAAATTTTATATTCAGTGAATGTATATTGTCTTTTAAGGTAATGTTGCATAATGTTCACTTTTTATAGTGTCCTTTTATTCTAAACAGTAAAGTGGTTTTATTTCTATCACAGACATTCTGTCTCTGCTTCACTTATATTAGTTTCTGTCCATTTCAAATGTGCACAAATGGATTTGCAAGTGGATTTATTAATTTCCTTCCCTTTCTTGATACTGTTTTATTGGGCCCAAAGCAGATATTCCACCTCTGGCAGTTTTAGCTTTTTTGGCAAACATCCGTCCAGTAGTCCCTCTCTTTTTTTAAGAGGTTGATCTCTCTAAGAATTATTATTGGGGTCGTAAGCCCAGGAGAAGCAAAAAATCCCTTTTGAAGTTAATGTATGGCACTTGTTAACTGGCCATAGGGGGTCACTGCAGAGCAAGGCAGTCATTATGGCTGTCCTGTAGCATCAGTAGGGCCTTGGGAGAACAGTTGATGCCAGATTGCTCTTATTTCCAGTAAACTGATAACCAGGGAAGGGTTGAAAGGTACGTGGCAAAGGAAAAAGAGATTAATCTTTTGGGTCTTTTCAGCTGTGAAATATCTGAGCCTTGTGTCCTCTTTAGGTTTGCTGTTTAAGGCTGGTTAAAAATGCCCTCTTGTCCTCAGAAGGAGGCTTCAGAAAAAGCGTTTTCAACTAAATTAAAATAGTTTATATCACTTGTGGAAAAATCTTTATTCTCTGCTCAGATGAAAGAAGGAAACAGCTTTTTTAAAATCTGCTCTGTATTTAATCCAAAGATTCAGAGAGAAAGCTTTGGACATAAAAGGATGAGTATCTCTTGTGAGAACTTCATTGCTTAAAGTATATCACCTTCCAAAGAGCTAAACCCATAACATCAGTTATAAACACTGCCAGGGGGTCAGCCATCAAAGGATCACAGCATATTTTATGAGTGCTAACTGCTAGAGCTTGAAAATGCCTCCAGGAATGGGAAGCAAAAGAGTGGTAAAGAGGGATCATTATATTCCTGCCTGACACATAGAGAAGCTGATGGGCGAGCAACCTTCACAGGTA